GGGGAAATGTCGAAATTGGTTGTTATGAGACCCACCAATTTTAACCTTCAGTTTCTAGAGAATCTGTCTGAGAGTAAAATCGGTAAAAAGAGGTCGGGTGGTCTTGGCTGATCCAGTGGGACAAGAGGAAACAAGTCATACAGAGAAGATCGGCTTTCATTAGTCTTATCGATGAGACACATGAAGTCAGGGGGTCAGAGGAGTAACGACTGACAGGAAGAGAAGTTGAGTGTTTGTGCGAGTCTGTATCTGAGTGCAAATCTCAGATACGGTATCTGTATTCTGTATCAGAGATTCTGTATCAGAGAGTGTGTCCCTATCAGAGATTGTGAGTCTGTATCTGAGAGTGGCAGTGTGAAAAAATGTGTGAACAAGGGTGTGAACGTGTATGAGAGTCTGTATCAGAGTTACTGATGAATTATATGTGTGATGACTGAATTGGAGGAAGAATCCTCACAATGACAGTAGTATGAATCAAAAATGTCTTGTTTAATATGTGAAAGTACCAAAGCTAAATGTTTTGGGTCCACCTTCACCCCATGCTGAGTTTCATTCTGGCAAAGTACAGAATAGTAAATGAAAACATACCGAAGCTAGGGATGGCCCTGTTTAAAAATATGAAAATCTGTGTGCATGCAGAAGTGCTTGTAGGAGTGGGTGTTTGGGCTGGAGAAGGGGTGGATATCGCATTTTATATTCATCTCTATCTAGGAATTGCCTCGATACATTTCCCTTTCACGCAAGACTGCTGGTGGCAAAATTGGCCAGACACTTCAAAGGCACAGTCCGGCTCCAATGTGACGCTGAAGCCACAGTGAAGCCGGCGTGACTCTGCAGTCCTCACCTCTGTACCTCCTCACATCAACCTCCGGGCTGTAACAAGCTGTCCAGGCCACAGGGTCTGCTCTGAGAATTGTCCCGACGGGATGTGAAGTTACACACCAAGCAACAGCAAATCAACAAGGACAGAATGAGCAACAGCACTGAGAAACAAGATTCGGCACTCACATAGTCTCTCTCTCTCTAGAGAGAGAGAGAGGCTGACATAAATGACATCTGTTCTCACAGTAATCTATTTGATTAAAATCCCATAAGGACATAATTCTGATTACTATGCAGAGACCTACCAAGGATGTTTAGCAATATTTAACATCAAACTTGTCTAGTTAGCAAATTCATGCTACTGCACTCTTAAAAAATACTGGTTTTTCTATTGTGCATGATGAATTCTAACTAGTGTCTAAAATAAACAATGAAGTTTGTTACAGCTTATATGATACAAAGTGTATGCTATGATATGACCATTTTAAGTTCTAGGTTCAATATATATACAGAAATAATTACACATATCACAATGAAGTCTGTAGAGAAGGAGCTTAAGCCAAATAAGCAACAATTTTGGGTGAAATCTCGATTCATGCAACACGCATACCGTATATTAAACTCACATTTCCACCACTATGGAAAAAAGCATCCCATGATCTTTCCTTTTTTCAATTTGTATTGTAGTCACTCAGGACTAACCAATTTTAACAATTTTTAAGGGGAAAAGCATTATTATTCAACGCCTCTTTCAATTAAAAACTTTAAATTGATTATACTGAATCTCCAAAGCCGGTGCAGAACACTTTCGACAGGTGTGTTCCCGGTTATAGATAATGCCCTTTCGATAAGGCACACGGCAGCAAAACAGCTTCTGAACCAAGAAGCCCATCTCTGGGGGTATCATTAGAAACAGGTAGAACTTCAAAGCACAATTTTTTAAAACTCACAAAAAAAAAACAAGCACTCCAAAAAATAAAAAATTCAAACCCTTCAAAAAGAGAATGTAGATGGGTAGGTAAATCCCTACAAAAACATTCAGCGGGGATTTTCAGCTTTAGAGAGCATCAGCTGAAGGGAATGATGGGCAGATTTATAATGAGACAGGCCAAGTGAAGGGTAGACTGCTAACGAAGTTAAAAAGTTTGTATAATTTTGCAGTCAAGGGAGGTAGAATTCATGGATTATGATGATGAGGTATACAGTAAATGTTTACTGCAAATTCAGAATCCAAATAGATTTTAACGAAAAGCATTCCCAAACTTTCTAACATTAAAACCGTCAGGTACTGTATATACTAACAGCAATAACCAGGCACGCTGTGATTGTTTCAGATTCTATTTACCACAACAAGCTATCTAGGGGTCCAGACCTCAGTCAAAGATTTCACCTTCTATTTTTCAGGATGTTATTTAAATGAACATAGAGGGAAATCTAAGTATTCTTTTGGTGAAAGTGCAAAAAAAAATTTAGTTTTCACCTTCTGTGTCAAACCAATAACTTATCGGGAAAGAAGAGCTCATTTTCACCTTCCGAGTGAATCCTCTACCCCGCCAGGCACTTAAAATACATTGTTTTGTAAGTATTAGAATGGATTCAAAGGAGAGTGCTCTGAGACCACATGCTAGGTTCTGCATTAAATTAACTCCGATGCTCTCCGTATTTCCCTGTTCTCTTTCTGCTGTCTTGTTCTGATTAACAGCATCAGCATGGGAAGAAATGAGCTTGCCGACTTCTGAAAATGACCATCCAACCTTCTATCAACAATCTCTATAGGCTCTGCATCCGCCTCGTTTTTCAGCCCTGGTCCCACTCCTGCACTTTTCCCACTCCGACGAACTTGCCTCTATTTCTCCTTCATCCTCTTCCTCGTCATTCTCAGTCCTCACCTCCTCCAACTTCCACTGCTAGTCACCCCTACTTCTCCTCCTTGACACCCCTCTCTGGCTCACACATCTCCTCCCAGATCCAGGATCACAAACCTCACTGGCTTCTCAGGCCCTCCATCAAACTCACCTTCTCCAGGGTGCTGCCCCTCATCTCCTTTCCACGTCTCAACTTTTAGGGTGTTTAGGCACAAGCTGTCTATCTCGTCGTGTTGTCACACAACGAAAACCCTGGTTTCTCTCAAGAAATGGCTGGACGAGATCCTTAAACCCATTAACTACTAACTATCAAACGGGCCTACATAACATTAAAACAGTACTTCTGCACAGCGCAGAACAAATTAAAGGCCTAGTCGGTCTCTCATCAGCTATTAAATGCAGCAGACCTCCCAAATGCTCATTTATTAGCTCGCTCCACTGCAAAGGTTCAGGGCACAAAGAGCCTAATTAGTACTTTAATAGGTGCATCAGCCAGGCCTTGTGCAGGTCAGCAGTCCCTGAAAGCACCATTAAGGACAGCACCTCTCTTGCGGCTTTCAATAAGCATGTTTAACGCCAAGAGGTGAGGAAACGGGTGATTTAATATTCAGGGGGAAAAAACAACAATAACAAATTGGCATCTCTTTGGAGAATTGCCCCATAGGCCAGGCATTTTTACGTCCTTAATCATTATTAAATGACTTAACATGACACACGGAGCCTGGCGAACGATTGCATCCCGACAACAGAACAAATTACAAATGAAATGAAAGATCAAGCCGTATTAGAGGTCCGCCTCTGGGAAATAAAAATCTTTAATTCTCTTTTATATTGACATTTATTTGGCTGGCATGAATAACAACGGAGCAGTCAGATTTGGCGATGCCGAGTGCTACTGTATGGCTCATCCCAGGGCCCTGGAATTCCTTGACATTTATCATGTTTGCCTTTGTAGACGACATCACAACATATCTCTTCATCCTCCTCCCATTCATCACGCTTTTTATATAAAGTTCACGGAGCCACACAACTCTGTCTTCATAAAGAGCAGATGAAAAAGGCCAGCAGGTGTTATTCATCACCACGAAACACCTACGGGACACCAGACGTGTTCATTTTCTCCGAACCTCTGGGGGGGGGGGTTTGCCTGGATGGGGGAGCTCTGGTCCTCCCGATAGCGGAGGCTTATCTGTTAGCGCAGTTTCTTTCCCGCTGACGAGGCTCGATCCAGAACGCGCTGTCTCCGGCACGTGCCGAAGCAGCCCGGGAGACACTGGGGTAGAAGAGACAGGCCACTGGCGACGCACATGGCCAGCACCTTGCCAGGCCAGGAACCCCAGACCGCCACGTCTCAACTCTTGCTTCCAAACCCCAGTTTTGTCTCATGACGCTCCCGCTCAGAAATGCTATTTTTGCCCCTCCAGTTACGGCCCTGTGTTTCTGTCAGCCAGCGGTACATTCTAGAATAAGTGTTACCCCCTCCCCCCCCCCACACTTCCCTAGCAAAAAAGGCAGTGACTCCTGCCGTGCGCACGAAGGGCCGCGCTCTGAAGGGAAGAGGCACTCGAATTCTCTCTCCGGTCCCCCAAACTCCCCACCCCCTCTTTCATTCTTCGAGCTGCGCCGCAGAGCCTGCTGGCCTAATCAGTTACAACTGTGACTCTCTCTCCTCCACGGCTCAGCTCAACTTCCAAACTCCCAGGAACACACCCCCCACCCCTCGGTTACCGCGGCAACGGCTCCCTGTACAACAGCCTTTCGGATACAAACACTGAATCAGTGAGAGACAGGAGGTCAAAGCCAGCACTGACTTAATTTCAAACACTGTTGTGGAAAATGACTAAGTAAAATGATTCACACTCCGTTGTTAAGGTGATCTCTTCATAAGCTGTTTAGTGATACCAAGGAAACCCTTCGACACCATATTTTTTATGACAAGTGTGCATAATTGTCTGGTCACAATTGAACAGAACTATATCATTTTCTGAAACCTCAAATTTGCATTTATTAAAATACAAAAGTAGAAGTCTAGAGATATAAAGTTGAGGGGAATATATATATAATTAGTATTTGAGATTCTGATGGGTACATGGAACTTTGCTCTTCTGAGCAACAGCAGGCTTAAATTCAAGAGCCTATAAAAATAATTCCATCTAAAAAAAATACACACTTTTGCCAGAAATGCTGCTTAAAGCACTTCTAATGGAAATCCCACTCAAAGGTCGTCCTTTCTTTGCAACCTCAAATGTGACCTCGGACAGTGAACTGGACGCTGAACTCTAAAACGGAGCACGTTGGCGACGGGAGGCTTACCGCTGGTCACTACAGTGCCGTCCTTCCCCTGGGTGAAGACCACGATGCGCTGCCTCCGCTTGTTCACTTTGGGCAGACTCTGGGCCTTCCTCGCAATCTCCTCAATGTCCTCGGTCTGCAGCAAGAGGACAACACAGGCCCATCACTTTAATCCGCAGGAGGAGGAGAAGGCGGGGTCCCAGACGTCAGGGGAGAACACACGCCCGTGGGGTCGAGATGTTCCAGCTGGACTTCGCCCTCCAGAGCACCCAGATATCGCGCAGAAGCGCGGCAACAGCAATACGGCAAAAGAAAGAGAAAGCGCTTCATCGCCACCAGGGAGATGACGTGGACTTACTGGAAGTCATGCTAGGGTTCGTGAAGGTTTGCCACTTAAAAACCTTAAAAGAAACGTAAAAACCCAACAAGAGATCATCTCCGACCCCAGTGGTTCCTTCATAAAATGACCTTCTATTTAGATCGACAGAGAAAATAAAGATGAGGAAAGAATGATGAGCAGAAGTCAGATTTAAAAGTCTAAATTTATGCAAAGCTCTCTCCTCTCCAGAGGAGTGGTAACAGCACTGCACACTGTCCCACTGGGCTCGGTCTGGGCAGGCAGCAGATGTCCAGTTGTGCCCCAGGCAAGCTTTTGACCTGCACGCTCCCCGGCACAGAGAGCAGAGCAAAATGATCTTAGTCATCTCCGACCTGTCTGAGTTGACATCAATTTCTCCTTTGTTATTTTACTAAAGAATAACATGCCCTTTTTTAGGAAAAAAAAACCTCGAGTTGTCAAAAGACAGCAAGAAAGAACAAGGAATATGGAGCAGTAGGATCTTGGGAGTCAAATCAGAGGCCACTGTTTCAGTTCTGAATATCCTGTGAATAGGCCACACATCTGTGCAACCTAAACATCACACCATCCAGCTGTCAGAACAGAAGGGGAGGGACGGTTTGGCCTTTCTGACTTTTTCCTCACTTTCCCCATTCAGAGTAAGCTCAAGCCTGAATCTGGATCTGTGGTATAAGCCCGGGCTGAGCCTCGGTCACTGTTCCCCTGCCAGCCGAAAGCTGTTACTTTTTCCATTAACACAGTTCCCAGCTGCTGATAGGTTACTTTTAAAAGAGCTCTGGACTGGACCAAAAAGAGCTTCCAGCTGCTCTTCTATTGCCCGCCCCCCCCAAATACACACACACCTTTAAGTTTCTCTTGTAATTGATCTGAAAATTCCCGAGCTTCGAAATGAGCTGTGTTTTCAGACTGCTGTGCTCAGACATGTAGCTGCCTGGAACACTAACACAGCAGCTCTTCTGAATGGAGAGCGAGTGTGACCAGCTGTGCTGGGAATTAGGCTGTTTGAAGAGGATTTCATTAAGACAAACAGAATAAGGTGCTGTTGTTTTGAAATAAAAATAGAAAGCAACTTGGAGGAGCAAGTAAACAATCACTTTTCTTAAAAACATCCCAGCATGTCAACACACCATGACTGCTAGGTATTTTTCACAGGATATTCAGTTTCACATTAATAGGTCTCTTCCCTTTTGTGTCCTCTTTTAAACCCTTTGAAGAAGCAAGGCGTCATGCGGAAGGTGTGTGGGAAGACACACCCATCGCAACAAGCACAGGACAAACAGAGCTCTGGAGGACAAGAGACGAGGTCAGGCACGGAGACATAGGCTCACAATTAGTCTGACACAACAGAGAGCAGCACAGAAGTACCTGACCCTGCATACTGGAAAAACTCTGGGATCAAGACGATTTCCAGATGGCTTATCATCATACCTGGGCAATAGTACTTTTTAAACATTTATTTTACTCCTAATCATCTGAAAATATCTGAAAATGGCATTGATATTGGGTTTATGTCCCTGGCCTCTCCTGTCCAATGGCACTAAAGAAGACCCAAAGGGGTATTCCTGAACAGCAGAAAAAAACCTTCTCACACTAACAAATACAACAGTTAACAACATATAACAAATATGAAAACAGTTACGGTACATACCGACATCTTCGACAGAAAGGAAATCGAACACATTCATTCTAATTTATCTTTATAGATGTTCTTTAACAACACACACTTACAAGACACACAGAAAGATTCCAGCAAGATTCCTCCAGAGTCTGAACAAAACACACACAATAACACTCAGCTAATTCCAAACACCTTTTAACAGTGAGTGATGGAAAGATTTTCGTTAAAAGCAACAAAGGAGGGTAGCATTACCAAGAACACAAGGGGCTTGTAGATCAGCTTGAAATACGCATGTAGCCTCCTAACCAAACATTCATTTAAATAGCAGATGCAGTGCAAGAATTTAAAGACTTCAAGAGCGCAGAAATCTGTCTCTCATTTAATTAACTTTGTAGGTAAACTTACTAGGCGCTTAAATTATTATTAGTGTGAATAGTAAAATCTCACAAATTGTTTGCAGTTGCGGAGGACTGGTATCCCTTAATGAATTACGATGTATTTATCTACCAGTTACAGCACAAGAGGAGTGCTGTGTTTTGGGAATCAGGCTTTACCGTCATCACAGTAACATTTCTAGAGAGCAAAGAGATTGGGAGGAACAAACCCTGATATCTGCCCATTCGTAGTCACGAATATCTCTGCACCACACGGTATCCTGCTGCAAAGGCATGTGAGCTTGGGGACCGCAGGCCTCTCCAGTATGCTCCGCTTTGATCCAAACCCACCTGTCAGTGTTACTTCCTAATTAACCCATCAAAAAAACATCACAAGCAGGTGGAATGTCTGGATCGGTTTTCCCGCACTTGCATGAAGGAAACGACTCATTTCAGCTTGCTCAGTGGAATGGCTAAAAATACAGACAGGGCTCTCCCCTCTCTGATATGCTGCTGCAAGGAGCGTTCCGACATCTCACACAACAACAGGAACAAGTCTCCGTCATCTGTGCTGGCTGGATATTGAACGGCGCCGTGCTCCAGCCAAAGGGCGCGATCTCTAAACGCTTCCCAAACATGTCCTCTAATCAGCCTTAAAAGGTTTAGTGTTCTTGGGAAAAAGCGGTGTGAGACTCTCTAAGTAAGTGCTAATGAAAAGGTTAATACTGTGGTGGTTAGCAGGCAACAGCAAAAGCAATTTGTCACTGTGACTGAATTTAAACCAGGCGCAGTCAAGTCTGTAGCCCAAGGGTGCAATAAAAATACAGAACAGGGGGCTTAATCAACAGTTTCCCCTTTTTATCGCCATGGTATGGCAAGATCACAGGCATCCCTGCTACTTGTTTATTTCTTGTAGCCTTTTTGCAACTCTGTATTCATCAACCAATATTTGATCTACACATCTTGACTTTTTATTGTTTGCATTTTATTTTCTATAAAGCGACCTTGATAACGATACCATCAGCACAAAAATTACATTTAACTGTTTTTGTTAACAGAACCTGGTCTCTCTCCAACAAACAAAACTATATTTCCCAACCCGATAAGCCAGTGTTTAAGTTGACCACAAAACTAAAGCACAGAAAAAGTAGATTTTGACAACAGGCCAGATTAGGTTACAGGTTTTATAGTTTCTGAAATTCAGATGCAAAAAGGAGCTTTTTAGTCAGTTTGTTTTTGTGTGAAGTTTATTATATGTAATTAAAGAATTCCATAACTTTAGTTTTACTCTAAAGCATATGAAAGAAAATGTAATTGCTATAGATAGTGGACAAAAAATTGGCAATACCAGGGTAAATCAGGAAAACCTAGTACGTTGAAGGCAAGGACTACCAAACAGGTGTGGCCCACTCAATAACTAAACAAATAACATCCCAACATGCTTAGGGTTATATACAAAAATGCAGGATAGGCCTGATTGCCTGTAATTATGGACAGCGTAGCTTTATGCGGAAACCTCAGTGACTCTGAAACAAGGGTGATAGTCTGCCAGGTGCTTCAGGGAACAAGACAGCTCAGAATTCTGATGTTTCTTGAGTAATGATGTGAAAAACACCAAGGGAAAGACATCAGCAAAGGGTAAAAGTGGATGGAAGTGCATAGTCCAGCACTATGATATCTGTGCATTAACTCAAAGTCCAAGCAAAGCAGGAGAGCAACTTTGTTCTTAACTAATGGACAAGCGCATTCATGGAGCCGACATAAAGAATTCTGCACCTCTTAATGCTGTAGGACGCATTTTCGTAGTACGACTCATTGCTGTTTAATGGTACTGAGTGATCATCTTCACCCCATGTTGCTGTATTTCATTCCTGTGAGCAGGGGTGTCTTCCAGGCACAGAGCCCACGTGGTTGCCCAATGGTTTGATGAGCATGGCGCTGCTTGGTCACCAGATCTGAACCCAATCGAGTATTCATGCGATCTCTGGAACGATGCCCAAAACTATGTTTTTCTGGCTCCATCAAACAGACATAAGCTGACTTTTTCATGGAAAGTCCTGCAGAATTATAGATGGTGGTAGACTCTAGGCCACTGTTCATATAGGCCAGAGTGACCACACAACAAACTATGAAATTACTTTAAATTAGTCTTTTCTTTCCTTCTACCTGTATCAAATGCATTAGATAGTCTAAAGGGCCTCCACCGGTTTGTGATCTTATGTAACGGGCATATGACTGAGCAATATAACTGATTGTACACAACCAGTAGATTGAAAAAATGGGTGGCTATATCATCAAGTTCCCTGGCCTTCAGAATTCTACTGCACATGAGCTGGAATTCTTAAGCATAATGAATAGAGGTAGGATGACAAGCTCCAGATACTAGAAAAATAATAAAACATTCTAATGATCCTATCCTTTCAATAGGTCTGGTTTTGATGCAGCATTAATAATTGAAACAGAACACCCATCCATCCATCATTCGTTTTCTTACCGCTGTATCCAATACACGGTTGTTGGGGAGCCAGAGCCTATCCCAGCAAGCAACTGGCACCAGGCAGGGTACACTTTGTATGGGTTGCTAGTAAGTCACAGAAGTGCGCAAAATCAACAACAAAGAATTCCAAAATTTCACTGAATTAACTTTGCCATCAAAGCAACCTACCAATTTCCAATTTATAATTACTTCTCTGAATTTAAATCAGGAATGAGCCCTAAGGTTTTTAAAATCTTGTCCTTTTTTTTCTACACTGTGGATACTTCAAACAAAAAAGACATTTACAGTTCCTGAAGGTGACAACAACTCTGTTAAACTCTACTTATGAAGGATATTAAATCTCTTTGATAATAAGCTATGAACAAACACTCCAGCTTTATCAGGGTGTCAAATTCTGCTCAGCAAAAGTGTGTCTTTATTAAATCTAGCAAAGAACTGATCTTCTGGTGTAACCTGTTTATGAAACAGCACCAAGAAAATATTAAATTCCAACTAATCTGTACCTTACAGCATCTATGTCTATTTAAAAGACACAACTGAATATTCAATTGTATAGGGAGCTGGATATAATGATGGTTTTAAAAAGAAAAATAATGTAAATTGGTGTAGTAACAATTAACCACTTTTACTGAGCTCCGGAGAATGAAAACAGGTTGACTTGTTTTAGGCCTTAGTGTGTTATTGCCTTCAGAGACTATAAAAATAGAGAAAGCTTAATGAATGAACAGAAGACTTTTACACGTTATACTTAGGACTGGTTTACACACAGGAATTTGTCATGTTACCAAAAGCAGTGAGTCAGTGATGTTCAGGGTCTGGGGGTGAGCAGATTGATTTTTCACATTTCAAAGACATTCTCTGTCCTGTCAGAAAAGTTGCTTAATTCTCCATTAAATCAGCCTGACTCAACTTTATTAATCACAGAATCTTATCATGAGGAAAGCGCCTGTGTTGTAAATTGCAGGTTGCTATCACGGCGCTGAAATAATACAGCCCAAGGACTCTCCAGTGTAATTAAGATACGAAACACAGTACCAGTGGTGCTGAATTTTAAGGAGGTAAGTAAAACGTCTTTTGAGAGCGAGGAGGGCATTCAGAGGATACGAATGGCTGCCACACAGTACGCATGAGTAACTTCATACCAAAACAAACTGGGGTGTCAGTGTGAGTACCAGCTGGGAACATCAGCTGGCCTTCGTTAGTGGTCCAATTTAGATTGGTGCGCACAAGCAGGAACAGCATAAGCTTTCTCTCTTGACCCCTCAGACCCCTGAGAGCCCCAGGTGACCACTCCATAACCCTGCTCAACTGAGTAAGCAGGCAGAACACTCAAGCAGCCCGATTACACTTGATTCATATGCTTTTGAAATGATTTTTGAAAGAAAAGATTTTTCTCCTATTTTACAGCTTACAGATCGTGTACCTTAAAAAATTGAAAAATAATTATTACAAAATCTTAAAAGCATCATTCGGTAAAATACCACTGGTGGATCTGAAGGCAACAGTGTCATTTCTCAGCCTGGTTCTGACAGTGTGAAGTAATATAACCAAGTTTCTGATACAGGCACGCTGATAACTCTGTCTAAAATGATAAAACTGTTTCAACTATTATACCCAAAACTCCTTCCAAGCCTGTGACCTTTTATCTAGAACTGTATTGCATCGAAAGAACAACAGAAGGAATGTATTTTCTACAGCTGTCAGAAACATGCTAAAATCAGTGCTCTACCTTTATTCTGGAAAACATTCCCTTTTGTTCTGGCATATTTTATGGGCGAACATCCACTCAATTGTTATTTACAGAATCTTTAAACCACAGGTGGCAGTAATTCAGTTATTAAAATGGTTTAATAGTTTACAATTTAGTCTTGTATCAGCCTCCGCTGCAGCAGACAATCCTCCTGGAGTGTAATGAAGTTAATGAGGTAGCTTTTTAACTAAGCAACCTGACAGGCCCTGGATGCGCAGAGGCAGCTTGACACAATGCCCAACTTCTCAGCTTCCCAAGAGGCTTTTCAAAATTCAATACATAACATCTGTAGGCGATGTTGGGTACAGACCTAGCAGAATGCGTCATAACACCGAGCTGGCTGAACAAAGAAACCATGACGACTGCCAGGTTTCCATGGCAACCGCTGCAAGGCCCACAGAGTATAATAGCACATCAATCACTGTCCAAAAGAACTTCATTATCAGCAAAAATAATCCTTTAGGATCTGTTTAGCGTGGCATTGTCGGTCAACTCACCTCAAAGCCTTGTTCTCTTGCAAAAGTGGCAGCCTCCTGAAATAAAACACAACGGAACAGTTAATTACAGAGCTGATGATAGTGGAGGAAATCACAATTTAGGCGTACAGACATCTCACTTTCTTCAGTCACTTATCTCAAGCTGTGTGCCACTTCGGAGATTAAGAAGCATGAACCAATTCTGCTTTGTTTACCTTTCAATTAGTATTCTGAAGGCCTGCACCTGCTCCTGAGCATCTGCCCACTGTTCTTAACTTGTAGCAGAGGCATTATAAAACAACAGCATATCAGAATTTATCAAAGGTCTCAGGCACAACGCAACAATGTCCTGGGTTGTCACCTAATGTACTACTGGCAGAAAGAGAAACAACGGATATTCAACACTAAAAGAAAAAGAAAAATTGCGGTATTAACCACGACAATGTCTGACAAGTATTTCTTTTTTTTTTTCCTTTCAGCTGCGCTGACACTGTTTTAAAAAGGACACAACAACACAGGTCCTCCAAGATGATTTCGCTTTAGGACATTTCGAACAATTTCGCGAGATTCTGTGGATCCCCTGCCGACAACTGGAACAGCGTCTCGAGCAAGGCTCTTAAACACACTGCTTCCGACCCGGCAGGGTGAAAGAGGTTGATGCGATGATGCTAAATGATCCAATTATGTCAGAAAGGTCTTGCACTTTGCTCTCCAGTGCAGCCCTGGGGAAAGGCTGACAGTGTGGCCCTTTAGGAAAAAGAACAATAGAGCGATCCAGTCCCGGTCCCCGGGGCACCCTCACCCTCGCCCTGCCCCGCACGGCTCAGCTCACTCATCTGCCACGCCAGGGACAGAGCCAGGCCGATCTCTAGGCGGCAGGGGTGTCCAGACCCAGCTGGGATGCCTGGCACTGCTGCGCTCCGCCTTTTTTTCTTTCTTGTTATTGATCTTTTTCTTTCGCGAGGTATCTATCATTCCTGACAGGCTCCACTTGTCAGCTGCAGTTCGCCACCTCCCGTGCAGGGGCCCACCCACCTCACCAAGGAATTAGGCCCCCCGACAAACAAATTAAGACAGGAAAGACATTTTTCTCTTCAAGTCTGCGTAAAGCCTTCGGTGGGAGACGAAGTTTGGCTTGGCAATAAATAACCAAACAAATTCTGTTGCCAAACAAGGAAAAACAAAATGCTGTGAAACTCCATCAATTCCCATTAAAAAACACAGACAGAAAGGTGTTTAACAATATTTGTCAGTTTAACCATTACGACCGGTACCAAAGTAAGTTCAATTCTAATATAAATGTCACTGTAGGAACAGGTTTCTACTACAGTAACATCTGTGTCCCTCTGAGTGAGGGAGGCGGACACTTCCGAACATCTGCGCAGCAATAATGGAAACACTGAAGCTCAATTACGGCAGGGGAAGGGAAACACAAGACAAACAGCCCCAACAGCAAGAGCCACAGTTTGTTTTCTTTAAAAGAAAACTGTGTCTCCTAAAGGAATAACTTTTGACTGCACAAAGGACTATAATAGCTCCAGTTTATTAGGCACATAATTTATTAATTGTTCCTGGAGTGGTCATGTCTCTGAAGGACTCGGTGTCCCTCCAGTACAGTGTGTAATACATTACTGCACTGCAGGGATGTTAGCAGGTGTCATCGGGGAGAACAACACCTGGATAATACCATCTCTTCAGATGTGCGCTGCTAATTAATTTGAAAAGATCATTCAATTTATTTAAATCATATATTTAGTGTAATTAAATGTCTTAGCAGTTCTCACATTGCAATCTTCTCCATGCAAACTTGGCAGTCTTTGATTTTTCACCTCCTAATTATCTGGGTTCTCTGGTCAACATAGAAGGTAAAAGATAACAAGGAAGGCTCTGAATATCAACTCTCTACAGACTAGGAAGCCTGTATTTAATAGAAGGCTATCGGAATGTATGAGATGCTTCCACTGTCAGGGGCTCAATAAGGCACGGAGATATTTTTAGAGAGCTTAAGCTAATAATCCAAAGCCAACTAGGGAGGTGAGCTTGCCACTTCTCGCCAAGCAAAACGAAGTAAGCGCCATACACGTAATGCTGAGAGAGAGAGAGAGAGAGGGAAAAATTCAAAGTATCTCAAGTTATTCAGCTTCTATTTTTACCCAGGGGACAAAGAACAAGACAGAACTGAGAGCACTGGTTCTGTAAAGGACATTACAAATATTATTTCACAGAGTGGAGAGCAAACCTGGCAATGTTCAGGGAAAAAAAAATAGAGTTTCCTAACCAGAAAAAAAGGCTAATTTAAACAGCCTTGATGTAAATATGTTTGTGTGACAAACCGATGCAGTTGGGAATATATTTAAAAAAAGGAAATTTGCTTTGATTAGTGTTAGCACATATTTCTTGAAACAGAAAACCCCTTCAATAAAGATCCCTTATTTAAAGCACTGTAATTCTGGATTTCAAAGACAAAGGCAAAGAACATAAGCACCAGGTTTGTGGGGGTTATGTGTGATCAAGCACCCTAATATTTTTGTGCATATACTTGTTAAAGCAGGGTGAAAGCATTTTTACATTGTGTGAGTCTGGGAGAGTAGGGTGGCATCATGTGATAAAAAGGTTTCTAAAGCATGAACAATCTGTCACTGCCCAGCTTCTAGGAAATAATAAACAAATGAAAGTATACAATGGTAAGTTATGCTAAGAAAAAAGGCATTTCAGTGCCCCATTTACTCTCATCAGGTGATCTGAGCTCTGACTCCCATGACTCTCAGTGTCCATCTATAGATTTGCTTCATGCTTTGGTGGGAGTCGCCTTTACCGGAGGAGATCCCTTTTCTTGCTCTAAATTTTAATTTACCCTTTGTCTCGGAAGTGTCTTGGAGCTCTTTGGTGCAAATGGGAGATTTTCCACTTTTCTTCCTAACTGAGTTGTGGTCTTGTCTAAGACCCTACTGCAGGTGTAAGCCATTAACATTCCCCTCTGCTAGGTTTGGAATTCCTTTCTTGGGGTTTTGCTACTTTCCCCCAGAATCAGAGTTAATACACAGATATCACTTCACAACACAGAGCTCCACAGCTGTTTGAAATGGGATCCCACACCGCAAGTGAAGCTAAGAGCAGCCACATGTTGTGGATGCCTGTGTTTGCGACTGTGGTTCAGAGGTGACTCCGACAAGCCTCCATTAAAGAGTCAGTGGTCAGGATGACATCCTAGCACCTCAAAGCACAACCACCTAGTACTTTCCATAACACCAATTATAGCCGCATTATCTGAAAATTCAATAATCTGTATTATCTGAGTTAAATGATTTTTTACTGGGGAAATTATGCTACAGAATTCATAATTAGCTTCTCGAAAGGCTGCTAACCTCGCCCCAGTGGGAAGATGCTAAGAAAAAGCATGCATCTCTCTGTGGGTCAGACAGACCCCTCACTGCCCAGACTGCTGTAAAGTCTAGATTAGTCAACAAGCGGTTCCCTGGCCAGATACTTTGAACGCTATATTAAACCTTGCCTGAAAGACCAAAGCTGCAACTGGCACTGCAAGACACAGTTTTTCAGTTTTTAAGAAACAGAAACTTTCAGACATCCTGAGTGAACGAGAATAAATAAAAAGCAGTATAACAGCAGCAATAATGCCTTGCCTTTGAACAGCATGCTTCAACTTTAAAGGACTGCAACGCACTTCATTTACAGAACAGGGGATCTGCTTCACCCACCTCTGCAGTGAGGCCCCACCGGTATAACAAACAAGAGCCACTCTGCTCCTGCAGCCCCACTGCACAGCAGATCAGGTGAAGCGAGAATTTGTCACCAGTAAAATTCAGAGACATTAGAAACAAATTAGACATGGGTTTGGAAATTATGGTGCAGAGGGAAGAGTGCCCCCTACTGGTCCACCAACACTGCTAACAGCAGCGATCTGGTTTGCTTTTGAGGTCTCCCATACCTGGTGGGATCCCAGCTGTCCCTATTGTCTGATTATGTACATCTCTCTCTAAAAGTAATGAGGTGTAAGCATATCGCTCATAACAGGAAACAATCTTATTAAAATGTTTCACAAAGACTATAAATCAAAGACTGAAACCCAGCTCATACAGTGGGTTAATAATACATGATAAGTGGAGAAGCATATCTTCCCCTGGACGTTGCGAAATTAGCATTAGCTACAGCAAGCTACCCCAGGTTGATGTAAATGGAGAAACTGAACTCTGTCTTTGACACAGGAGGTCTGGGGAGGTTAGACTGACAAGTTATTTGCAGCAAGAGTAGCTTTCCTAGTCTTTCAGTGAGCTGCTGCATTTCGATTTGTGTGTAAAGACTAGACAGAAACCAAAGCGAACTGGACACAGAACAGCGCTATATGATGATCCGTTCTCTTCTCTTAAACGTTTCACAGATTTCGAGGTTCTGTTCCTAGAATAGATTAAGGGTCACTCGGTGACTTAAAACTGCTCACCAACAGAGATTATTGGGAGTTTTAGTATTGGATGTTGTGCTATTCAGGAAAGGCCATTTTTCCCAGAACTCCACTGCCTGATGTTATTCGTGGAGAGCCTGCTCGTGGTCTGGACAAACGGTGGAGGAGGCTGGGTGAAGAGAGCTGGATCTGGGCTGATCACTACTGCTGTGTACTGCAGTGTATAAGCCATTAGACATTCTAGCTCCACTGTGGGCTTCTGTCAACTAGGGCTCCAGGATGGTGTGCGTCTCAGGGTTGTGCTTTCCATTTCCGGCATGAGCAGGAGGCTAAATGTGAACCAGAGCAAACCCACATCCAAAGCACAGACGCCTAAAGTCAGAGGGGCAGCTGGGGGAATAAACTAGGGTATCTAGAGCGATCTTAAAGCAATGCTGTTCTGGTCAGTAGAGATCAGTGCAGTGTGTACAAGCTGGGCACTGAAAAGCCTTCCAGTGGCATCCTCTGTAGACAAAGGGGCAAAGTTCCCTGACAGTGCTCTCTCTAGATACTCAGATAGTGCTTGCAAGGGAATAATAAAACACAAAACAAAAGCAACTTGATGCTAAGTAATTAGAGCTAGTGAGCACAGCTTAGGAAATAAGGCCAAGAGTTTCAATTTGACTGGTGCTGGTAAAAAACAATCTGCTTGTTTTGAACTCTGCGGCGGAAGTCAGTGGAGGACTGAAGTGTTGCCCACAGCCCTGGAGATTTTCTAACCCACCCACAAGTGGCATGAGTACGGGACGAAGAAACACTTTAATTGGAAAAAAAAAAGATAATGCAGATCAAAACGAGGGCCTGCTTCCCAGCATGCCCCAAGCCCACAGGCTGGTTGGCGTGGCCAGACAGGTCCTGAGGCCAGAGCTTGGCACACAGCAGCTCTGCGCTGCGCAGGAAGCTGCCTGGGCCACACTCCCAATGGCTGGGCGTCTCCTAAAGCAGGTGATTATTGATATGATAATCTGTGTTTACAGGCTTTAGCCTTCCATCTGACAGTAGGAAGCTCAGAGGAGGAGAGATTAAGGAAATAAACAACCTACACTGAGGTTTTAGCGTTCCCCAGAGAATGCGGCATTTCTGTTCATGCATGACATGCGACAAAACAGCAAACCAAAGCTGAGACAAGGACTTGAAATCTCTTCTCAGGCTGAATTTATTTAAAGCAAAAATCCTTTGTTTACCAGAAGTGTTTAAAATTCCCTCCCCCACGCACACACCAAATCATTTTTCTGCGTGCAATACCTGTGCTGTTCTCTATTGCTCCTACTCTGTGACTGAATAGGGAAGCACTTTGAGATCTTTTATTGTAAACTCCAGCAGATAAATCCCTGTTCCTATTGCAATATGCTCTACTGAGCTAACACTTGCAAACAAGCTTTTCACCCCTTTATATTAACCACACAGTCAGTAGAAATAGGTTAAGCATTTCAAACATAATTCTGAAGCAAACCTGAGGATCTGATATTGCCTGGTATAAAACAATACGAACTAGTAAAAACAGGCCGGCCAAGACCCCACAACCGAGTTTCACTCTTCCTCTTGGGTGAGCTGAGGAAAAGAGCAATCCAAATAATCGTCTTTAATCTAAAGTCAAAAGGTCTTTACTCAGCTCAGAATAAATCAAAAAGCATCCAATACGGCATTACCTAAACTGTCCATACCCATGACACTCAAAAAATAAAAACGTCTGCAGTGGAAACTCTCTTGCTTCGTGGTGCTGATAGAGTTATTCAGGTTAAATAAATCAATCTTCTGAATGAGTTTTTCTGGTGCTTGGTTGGATGTCAGATTTTGTTAAGAATGAACTACCAAAAACGAGATGTCTTTCTCAGCCCTCCGATCTGTTGGTTTACTCTGCACTAACAAGACGACTTGCTCAGAGCAGCTTGCATGCGAGTGCTGACCCGACATCACAGAAGAACACTGCCAGTCTAAATAGCACTGTGGTCAGATGCCCTCACTAAAATGAGAAAGGCTTCGAACAAGCACCGTCATTACGTTGTTCAGAGGGTAGTAACATCTTTAAATATGTACCGCAACTATAAAATGCAAGCTTACAAGATCTGCAAACCCCCAACACAACAGCTGTCAAACAGAGATGAGGCTGTCAAAATGAAAGTCACACTAAAGTAACACTAAAGTCACACTAAAGAACCTAGCGATGACAATCTTAACCCCAGAAAACAGAACATATACTACATATAAACCTGAGCGCATGGTTCAGGCAGAAATGCACGTTGATAATGACTGGAAAAATGCTGGGCTCATGCATTAAATTAAATAAGCCTTTTACAGGTCCTGCTTGATGTTAAATAAGAGATCATGATACTCCAGTGCTATCCCTGCCCTCCAACCTCCACCTCTGACACACTGGAATGTTTTTCAGCTCTGCTTGTTCAGACACAGGGTTAGAGCACTGCAGTCCCAACAATGTGAATACAAAAGATGGCATTAACAGTTTCAAAGTCTGTGCATGTTGAGCATGTCTGATGTGCGATGTCAAGGCAAACTAAAATGTTGTCTCATAGCAACCCAGCAGATTCACCTGAGCTGCAACAAGGGGGAGTTTCTCTCTTCCTGCACGACACAGATATGACACCCGCGCTGCCAGAGGCACCAGCTGGTCCTGGTTTATTCAGCTCTGGGCCTCAAACTGCAAATCTCACTTCAGCTCCCGGAAAGGCTGAAACCATGTTAAGGTCACCAAAGGGGAAGGAGCCGGTGTAAAAAGATGCAGCCCCGTTGCTAAGAAAAGATATTGCAGAGGGACAGTTTTAGGGGCTCAGTCCATTTTCTGGTGTGACGCGTCCGCTGTCAGAAGCGATCGTGGCAACAGCTTGGTCACAATCCTCGGAAATCCCGAGCCCTTCTCAGCAGCAATCGCCCCTCTCACGAATCTCACCTCAAGGCACTGACACAGGGTCGGCTCACAACAGCACAGCTCCACAGACCATCTGCCAGGAGATCTGAAGTCCTTGGCAGCGTTAAAGAAAAAAATGCTGCCGCAAAATATCAAATTATACACAAAAAAGCCACTGGCTCATTCTGAAATTATAAGCAAAAACTGTATTTTTTTGCTCAAAACTAATAATGTCTCACTGCCTGTCAATTAAAAACACATGTAATATACTTTGGAATAGGATGGAATATTGTAACTGGCCACTGGGATCAAAAAGAACAGCCCTGCTTTGTTCCATGGGGTAGCAGGCACAACCTTCATCTGTGAATAGTGGGATGAGTACAGTAAAGTCAAATAAAGACCTGGAGTAAGGGATTGCTTTATGCCCCAATGAAGACAAATTCAATGACAAGATGAAAGTTTAATTTCTAAGTGCTTTTAATTAACCAGTCGTTTTAACAAAAAAAAAAACGGAGACAGGGGCCAAGGTCGTATCTGTTGATGTGGCACGGACTGGCCCCTGCGCCAGCTGCAACACAGAAAAAGGAAACAGCTCTGATTTACAAAAGCCAGCATTCCCTTGGCTTCTGTTCAACAAGCATGTGACAAATTCTGTGGAAAAGAAAATATCCAGAATGCTCCGCTTAAAGGAAATACTTGGTATGATGCAATAAAAAAGCCACAATAATGTAGGTCATCAAAACACTAAATCATTCACTTCATGTGGGAACAACGGCCACTTCAAGAAACTGTGGTTTTGAATCAAATTCCAAATCGCTTCCTGCATTGCTCAATGGCCTGCAAATCTTATTCACTTTACATGGTCTTCATCAGAAAAAGTAACAATCTCTAAGAAAGATTCATTTGCAAGTTGAAGCTGAAAGGCTTTTTTCAAATTAATCTGCTCTCAGTTTCTTTTATTTCATCACGCTACAGTACATTCAATAAGAGTGTTTTCTTAGAAGTGCTGAAAGCACGTCTCAAACAGGGCTTTGTTAAAACAGTAGTGGAGATACAAATCATTGATATGATATCATTTTATAAATAAGAGCTGCAGACTGTCTTATTGTTATGAAAACCATTTCCACTTCAACACAAAATAGGCTTCTTTTCCAATGACAGCTTTATTACAAAGGTTGGTTTTGTGAATTAATATGTTCCAATTCCTTCAAAATGCTCCCATTCCATAATTTCCACAGGGAAATGGTTATATATAGTTAGATAACCAACACTGTCAACATATAAATTTTGGGTGCTACTCAAAAGACAATTTGGACATCATGCACTAAGTGGCTACAATAAAGACCATCTGGGTGAAAAGAGATTTTTGTATCAGTAACATCAAAATGCATTGCTAGTTTTTGAAGTGAAAGGCTACATACCTGCTGTAACAAAGATGATTTGTAATTTCAAGGTAACAGAAAAACCAGACTTGTTGGGTCTTTAGCAATATCAATATAACTTTCAATTCATTCTCACAATGCACATATACACAATTCAAGAAAGAATCTAGAAATATCACAAAACTGGTGCTTTCTGTAAAATCAAATCCATGTATATATAGTTATATACAGTTTGCAAAACTGGATTTTATGGAAACAATGCCATACCTACTTCATGTCATAGTGCTTAGTTAAAACGTCAAAATGCTTCTGTATGTGCTAGATGTACAGAGGCGGAGCGGTGGCTCTGTGGCTCAGGATCTGCGCCTGTGACTGGAAGGTTGCGGGTTCAAATCCTGTGGCCGGCAGAGGAATCCTACTCTGTTGGGCCCCTGAGCAAGGCCCTTAACCCTAACTGCTCCAGGAGCGCCGTACAATGGCAGACCCTGCGCTCTGATCCTTAGCTTCTCTCCCTGTCTGTGTGTCTGTGTCTCCATGGAGAAAAGCTGGGGTATGCGAAAAGACAAATTCCTAATGCAAGAAATTGTATAGGGCTAATAAAGAAACATTAAAACATTAGACAGGAACAAAGCATATCAGAATGCAAGTTGTCAGTCTCACTACGGAGTCAGTCTCACACCTGGCACCAGCACCCTCAACGTAACTGATCAAATTAAAGCTTTGCAGGCCGCCTTCGATCACAATTTGTCTGGTCTTTAACGCTTGAAGTCTGGAGGACAGCGCCGTTGGCAGGGGAGGAAATCAAATCAGGAACACAGTTGTCACAACATGCCTACCCCGACCCCCAACCCCCCCACACAAACCTAGAGATGAGAGGATAAGAAATATCACATCGGTCTCTGAATTCCAAAACATCACAGGCACTAGAGATGTGTAGGGGATCGAGCTGCACTGGTGTTAAACGTCTCATAGTCACTCTTACGACAGCCTGACATCCTGCACTCTCTCCCTGCTGTGAAAGAGGAGTGCTGGCCTCTGAGCCAGCAGAGTGTCTGCGGTATTGATCTGCTCCCACTCCAATACCTCCCTGCACATCCATCAGCACTTTCCTCCCAGGGAAAGAGATCAGCTCTCGACGCCTGTTAAGGCGCTCTCTGGGTTTATATTTCCCCGCACTGTAGAACTCGGGGACCTCCCTTAACCTCAACAAAGTGAAATGTTTTACGGCTCAATCAGAAGGATTTCCAGGACGTTCTGGTGGTGGAAGCTGACACTTGTGAGAGTGATCCCCCTCCTTGGGGTCTGGGCATACTGGCCCAGAGACTCATTCAGACAAACATCTATCTCTCCAGCACAGTAAACAAACTATCATTCCAAGCACATGTAAAAGAGGCCAATATTTCAATTTGCCGATGACTAACACAAGGCAGTTAACGTTTAGGGAAATTAAATGATGCTAACAATACCCTTGATGATGAAAAAAACATAGTTCAAAAGATCAAAACAAGGGTGAATGTGTTTGAAAACAAATCTGAAACGCTTTGCATTGCATTGGTGGTGTCTAAAGACATACTGTTCCCCTTTCATTGAAAGCGGAGAGCAAAGCTGTAGAAGATATATCTGCTTAAATGAAAGAAACACCACATGCAAAAAACACAATTATCCAACATTCAAGCATTTTCTCAATTACTTGACAATAAAAGCACTTTCTCCCACACATTCTCGTTAATAAAAGTATTATGGTTCACAAGCCCTTAAGGCAGAATCAGCTGGGCATGGAACAAACACCGCCGGGCTAATGTGTGAAACACTAGAAACCTCCTCAGAGAAGGCTTAACTGAGCTTTAGCCGGAAAAGCTGAGCCTAAAAGGAAAGTGCTAGTTTGTCAGATAGTAATCCAGCCTTCACATCTCTTTGTTCTAATGTGTGGAACCCTCAATACGTTCCGATAACTACGAGAGGCACATCTCCCTCTTGCTGTGAGCACGCCGTCAGGGAAATTATCCACATGGGGCATGCAGTGCTTCGGAAAACATTCCCTGTAGCTGAGGGGTTCCTGACTGAACTTCGCATCACCCACACACAGCCAGCAGAAAGCACGCACTTTCCCACACGTCAGAAGGGATCAACAGCCAAGGGCTCTAGCACACTGACAACACATCCCACAAGTCTGGCGAACAAATAACCTTCGTGTCGGACTGGACAATGGTGAGAAAGGGATTCTGAAACACACCCAAAGTATGTCCATGCAGGTCACACGAAACTCCTCAGTAGACCTGGGCCACTCAGTGTTCCCTGTTAGGATCTCTTGACATGAACCTCAGGCATGCACAAGATACGATCAGCTTTGTTTCTTCAAAACACAATCAGCTCTGTGTCCTTCATTGTGTGGAAACAACAAGGAACAAGCTGATATTCGTTTTGGAACGTCACTCAGCTTAAAGACAGTTCCTTCTTCTGGTGAGACTTCACGGGAAGAATGACAAGCTGCTTTTCAGTAGAAATCCCAGACTCTAAAGGCTCAAACTGCCTAATTCTTTTGTATAAATGTAAAAGAAACAATGAACAAACCTTCTTATGAGCTTGTCTACTGTATGTCAAATATAGTCAGAAAATTCTGAAAAGGGAATCCTGGGAAGGAGATATTGGCAGAACTAAAAGAAAGGCAATTTCAGTGTTATTCATGCTAAAGGGTTTAAAACAATTAACAGTACTAAAAGCAAATAACCGTGGCTTCTACAGTGGAGGAAAAAAAAAGCTGTTTCTGAAATGACTCCGTTCCCCTGGCCTGCCTGCAGCACTTTGATGGTTCTGTTTCTTTAGCGTTGGTTTCAAACACCTGTGCTAAATGGCCAGCCTATTGAATTGTCAATTCTAACGGAGCTATCCCATTTTAATATCTCCCCCAAGCACACATAAATAACCTCCTCCTGGGGGTCGATCCATTCAATCCATTCAACAAATCCCACTCCAAAGGGAGGAGAGGTGTGCTTCTGCGCGTGGGAGGTGTCGAGTGTCAGTGACGGGCTCTGAAGAAGAGAACTACGACACAGCTCCAGAAATGGCTTAGAGGCAGCTCCAGCTTATTCACAGCGAAGCTGCACACAATCACTCTGTGGCTCTTTTTATGACAAGCGGAGAGGTTTAAATCATTTACCAACCTTGTGGCCGTCCGAGATAAAAAGCGCAGTTATTTAAAACGATCTGGATCGCAGTGGAATTAATCACTGCTTATACAACATCAGTCAGGGTGATTCATTCATTCCCAATTAATCTTGCCATTTATCTACATTGTCTGAGCTGCAGCAATACAAATTCATGAGTAATAACCAAATAATTTTCATTGTACAGTTTATCTTATGTGCTACAAATGACAAGCAAACTGTGTGTAATTTCTTTGGTTAATTCATTGCCATCTGGTTGCGGCACTAACGATTCTTCGCTCTTGCTTAATTAACTATGGCTATTAAATTTTCTGAAATGTTATGCCCTGAGTTTATGTCATGTAGTCAGAGCACAGCAGACAAGGACTCAATTAGACCAGCTCTGTTCTGAGGTTATTACAACGCATGTTTGCCAATTAACAAGAAAACAGACTGGTGTCAGAATGGAAGCTTTTGTCTGCTATTCATTTCCTTATTCCAGATCATAACTTCCTTTTTAATCAAAAATAAATCACTCTACTTATGACCTTCCTTCTTTCAATGTTTCAAACACAAACGCAGCAAATCTCTATATACGGCATTTTTCAAAGCGAGTTCAAGTTGTCACACAGAAAAGAAGAGCTGGCAGCGTGTGTTTACACAGACAGGCCTCAGCTTAGAGTGAGTACCAGAGTGAGGAGGTACAGAGCTACACGCTGTCAAGCATCTGCAGATATTTCCACTTCATCTTGTTAAAAGCACCTCCATTATCTTCAATCAATCCACCAGGCATGTTTACTGCCAACTACATTGATACTATAAGTGCACTTTCAGATGTGGGGAGAAAAAAGCTTATGCACGGCCATGGGGTACGATACAGACGTTAAGCAACATCAGAATCTGTCTTAGTGGATTAAGAGAGGAATGTTCTCGGAACATGATGTGCAAACTCCGAGTGTGTAAACATCCATAGAACCTCCCAGGTATTCCACGATTTCCTGCTGTGTCGTCTAGAACTTTCTGTGCGGACTAGATTACGATGAGCTCAAGTTCCGTTAAGGATTACTGGGCTCGAAATAACAAGACAAGTTTTAATTGTTTTTATTTAAAATCCTGACAATGAGCTACACCCAAGGATCACTGAAATCCATATGCTGTGGGAAAATGACAGATATGCCGTTACTGTGGAGAACTTGTGGATTTCAAAAAGTGTGAAAGAAATCCCATGTTTACCTGAATACCAGCGATTTAATTTTACTGGAGGTGGTGCAGTCTCTTTGGCATTGTGCTCTTGCTGTTTTGGAGAGTAAGAATCCAGTCATCAGGCACTCACAGTTCTGGGTCAGTGTTAGTACTAAGGCTGCTGCCACTGAGAGGGTGGCTGATTCGCAGAATGGACCTGTAGCTGAGAGTCAGTAACTGCCTCTTCAAACAAACATTAAAGCTACACAATCAAAGAAGACCGTGCATCTCTCTTCACGTGTCATTGGAAGAGTTTCAGTCTTGTCTGAAAGGCTTTAATGGGACACATGAGCCTTCGTTACCTTACAGCCTCAAGCTGAGACTGTCTAATTGACTTGTTGAGTCTGTCAGGATCTCAGGATCCATGCCTGAGCTGTGTGGTAAGAGTGACATTTTAAGTAACACCTTTAGACATTTCTGACATGAAGATTTTCCTTTCACACGATGAGAAAACATTGAGTCCGTGATTCTGTGACTTAGTCTATGCACCTTGCAGCAGTACAAGTACTCACTTGTGCTCGGAATCAACATTCTTGGAAAACCTTGAAATGCGTTGGTGATTCCTCCCATGTGCTCCGAGTGTATTTAATGTGGCTTGCAAGACATTCCCCAAATTAGACCTTTACCACACAGTGCTTGCTGGTGGATAAAACACTGCAGCTCCACTGGCCTCTCAGCACTGCGCCAATCATCCTCCTTGCACAGCGACTGATCAGCTCAGTCTTACTCCCTGCCATGTGCATGGCGCCTCCTGTCAGCACTGAGGGAAGATGACTCCAACAAGCCAAGTTCTTCAGTGCTCTGAGAAACAATGTTTCAGCTGTAGACCTCTCATGCAGTGTCTGTAGTATCATCAGTTTCTGTTATTCTCAATACCTTATATATCAGTATATCCCCCAAACAAAACTCAACAGGTGAGCACACTCAGTTATATCATTGCTACATCCAAACCTACAGAAATATTTTCAGAAACGTCATCTTTCCCCAGCTCCCACAGTTGTGCACACTGCATTATGTTCAAGATATGCAAGATACGTCGGTCCACTAATAAGAACATGCGATAGTATCATGACACGAGTCTGCATTAAACTTGACTTTGCTAGTTCTGATTCCCAGTCCTAAAACTCTACTAATTACAAAATAAAGCTTGAGCTTCATTTCTGCGCACTTTTGAGTTTTGCCTCATCAAGTCCTCAAACGGTTTTGGAGCCTCACATTATAGTTTCCCAGATGATATGTGTGTATATTGTCATACCTAGCCTAAATCTGACACTGAAGTGGAGAGTGGATAGCAAAGAATAGATAACAGCCCATGGTACACTCCTCCCTTCCCTACCGCACTCTCCTCCCTTCCCTACCCCACACTCCCCTCCTGCAGTGTGCTGCCCTGCGCCTCTACTCTCTAGCCTGGGCGCCCCATCTGTTTATTCTACTAACCCAGAGCAGCCACACACAGCAAGACCTGACCTCCGCCCAAGATATCGATCAGACATCCTTCAGAAAAGAAGTAAATAAGCAAAACAAGTAGAAAATGTCAAAACAAATTGTTCCAGTATTTTTTTGGTAATTTGATTTTTTCCTACCCGCTGGAAGCCAAAGAGAATTTCAGAAAAATGAAGAGACCAGGGTTACTTGATAACCTTCTCACAGTTGAGTCTACAATGACATTTATTAAAAATTTGCTCAAATAAATAAAACTGACAAGCCTCCCTTGTTTGTGAAAAATAAAGACACGCTAGAAGAAAGACCCTTGAGAGTTCTTCAGAGAACCAGATGCTGAAGAAGGTAATTGCTCAAATTTGTTTTGGTACCCAGAATGTTGTTCTTAGTGAAACATCAATCATAAGTTCTGATCAAATTAGACCGTCTCACCGTTTCATTTCCAAACAAGATGTCAACATACGGCATGACCTTCATCATGGGCTCCTTGTAGAACTGGCTGATAAATGGAGCCGACAGATTCAAGCCAAAGATCTTGTTGTTTTCAGAAGCGTGCTTTGCTACCTTCAGCACAGATTCTGGGGACACTGTGAGGAAGAAACCCTGAAAGCAAAGAAACAGAGAGGAAAACAGTGAGCATTACCAGCAGCAAGTTGAGGCCACAGCCAAGGACCAGCTCTGGGCAATCATCCTCCACATTTCCAGGGCTCATCTGGGAGATCTCTCCTTTAACAAAGGACTACATGTTTTTAACAGCATTACACAGAAACCTGTAGTCACCAAGATGTTTGCTTCATAACATTAATTTAACGTTCAGAGCATGATTTCATTTTTCTCTTTAAGTCACATAATAAATTCCAGAAATAATTAGGTTTGATCACATTGAGGTTCTGAAAAACCACAAAATGGTGGAATGGAGCAGTGGCTGGGGCTCTGAACTTATAACTAGAGGTTTGTTGTGTTCAGTCCTCAGATGGGCTGTACCCACACTGTTCACAAGTTGTACAAATGTAAGACACTTTGAACAAAAGCACCAGCCCCATAAATTAATACTAACTGAAAATAATGAAAGAGGGAACCATTAGAAACCAATTCACATGAGAACAGAAGACAGGTTGCTGGCCTCTAATCCCCCTTGTAATACCATTCATCTTCTTGTTTTCGTTGTTTCAAACAAAAAACAAAAAGCAAATAAAATGATGTACACCAGCCTGTTAAAGCAAACAACAAAAGGAATGTTCTCTTCACACAATTAAAAATGTTCCCATCTAGAAGACGAATTAAAGAGCAAAGGCAGTGTTTCTCTCTGGTCAGTCAGCAGTGCTGCAGAGTGGGAAGATGGAAACCTGGGAGTGGCGTTCTGCTGCGGCCAGAGGACCTGCTCTCCGGACTGTGTGTGAGGTCACAAAACACCTCCATTTTGACTCGAGACCTGAAACCAAAAGCTACTGCCAACTTCACAAAAGGTTTTCTTTTGTAATACACAAACTGTTTTCTCATCCCAGTTGCTTAAAGTAATTACCCGGTGCTGAAAGAAAATAACTCCATACACGCATACAGTATTTAGGATAATAATGACTTGTACTTTTTATAAGTGGCTCTAAGAGAGCTCTCAAAGAAACACCACCCTCTGGAACTGGCAGAACAAAACACCGTTCAATTCAGACGCCACTAATGGCATAACAAAGGCTACACAACGTAGCAGGTATTCTTTGCAGCATGGGAACTGTAAAACACATGATTAACAATGGGCAGTAAGATATATTCTACTTTTTAATCTGTTACTAATTGGCTCTTTTCAATCAGTAGAAGTAGTTAAAAAATTCAAGTCTTGCATATAAATATTGCTGAAGTGCATGGCATTTATCACATCTAACAACAACAACCAGAGTTTTCAGTAACAAAGGGCATATTCACAAACCTTTAGATTCTGCATGTTTACTTTTTGAATTTAACAAAAGCCTGTTTAAAACCAGAAAATTACTGCGTTATTTAAATAGGTCAGTGCTGCTGTTCAGATAAAGGACTATTTTGTAAGGTTTCTCTGATAGTCAGAACCTTCACTGTCAGTAAATGGTCCTTTATTGACCCTGACATTTTCCTCTAAGAGGGTGCCAAAGTGTCAGGGAGAAGAAGATTGTTTTCAGACAGATATAGAGCTTTTGTTATTGAAGATAAACTCTTACTGCTCCCATGTTACTACCTCCAAAAGAACAAAGGGCTTCGTCTGGACCCCCGGAAATATTTCAAAGGGAGGAAAGATAACTGAAACTCTTGTACATTCTTTAAAAAACGGGGATACGGGATTAAAAAAAAATGTCACTTAAAAAAACTGTCTTTACCGTGACCCGCTCATTGGTTTTACAACCTTAACCTTGTAACGAAGCTAAGCTACAGTAATGCCTGGCTTCTGGTCTTCAAAGAGTTGAAAATAAGTTTTGAATACGGCCCTCCTTCTCTTCCGTGAGCTACATCCTGACTTCTATGGAAGGTCTGACCATAAAACTCAGCCTCATGCACACAGGACTGCCTCCTAGCACCTACTGTGGACTGGGCAGAAGTGAGCCAGGAAAGACAGAGGGCTAACTGCTTTAAAGCAGTCTTGAATATTATTCTACCATGTCCATTTTACATTAGTAGGCCATCTGGGAGCCCTGCTTTATCCTCATGCAAATTTAATCACTGCTTTGGCAATAAAAACTCAGGGACCAATATTCTGAGGCATTTTCATACCTGAACTGTCACAGAATGAGCCACTGTCCCTCTGCCTGGATTCACAGCAGTGTCTGCATCATTACCACACTTGGGCTTTGATGCTGGGAGGTTTCAGTATGCTTTATTTTGGAATTATTGTGGCTTTTATGTTTGAGCGTTTGAAGTTACAAGCATGCCTTGAGCTCCTCTTTTATGAAAACAAAGCAGGCCACTTGAAAAGTTTAAAGCTCAGTGACATCAGAGCTGACAGCACAGAGATTCAGAGATGTGTGAAGGGGCAGGTTGTACCCAAATCTTAATTCTACATAATAGCAATTGCACAGCTACAGGAATGACAAGTACAGGAATCAAGATGAAAACGATAAGGTCAAATTTCCCACAAACTGGTGTGTAGAGTTTCCTGATACTACACATTGATCTGAATGCTTTATACTGTGCATACATCACAGATTTTACTTGGGTATTTCAGTCTGGTACCATTGATGGAAGCAACTGTTGTAAAAAAACATTCTGAGTGCTTGCATAGCAAGGAAGATCCAAGAAGAGATATAAATATACATAGGAGGGGCTGAAGTGCTGCCCCCAGCTGGGAGGCACACAGCAGCCCCACTGCACAGCAGATGAGGTGGAGAAGAGAGAAATAATAATAATAAGCTTTACATAAAGGAAGGAACCCACTTCGTACATCGCCGAAGTGCAGCACCCATCTGGGAGATGACCATTACCTGACACTAGACCCGTTATACAGCATATTATGTGGAGAAGCAGAAATTACTTCATATCCATTATTCCATGAAGGGGGAAATTTAGGAAGGCCAGAACAGACACTCTGGTTAACACCCCTACTGTCAAGAAAAGAGTCATGGGACCTTTTAATGACGAAGTAACAGTTATGAATAATGAACTTGGGTCACCAGAGCAGTCAGAGACAGTCACAACCTGGGTTTTACGTCTCATCTGAAGGAGGGCATCTCCTACAGCTGTGTCCCAGTTCACCACACTTAAGTATTGGTTTGGAAACTCTGTTTCCAACACCTACTGGTCCACTAGCACCACTTACAGCAGCTGCCTGGTTTCCTTATGCCAATACTAACCAGGCCTGCCTTACTGAGCATCTGAGTTCTGAACACATCATGCTATAATCAGGTGGAGCAGCTATACCAAATCTCTAGGATTCATTCTGCAGTCCATCAATAAATCAATACACACAAAAATATCACAACTGTTACTAGGCACTTTTCAAGCAGAATACATTTGCTATCGTAGTGCATTTTCCCTTTTAAATTCTGAGATATGCTTTAAGTCACTGAGGTACCAACACTGTCTCTCTTATTATTGCAAAGTCTAACTCATCTCAGCTCTCATCTATTTTTTTTCACTTTACAATGCATGGAATGAAGTCATGCCGCTAAAAATAAGCTGACCATCTGAAGTGCAAAAAAACCCCACTGTTTTCGGAAGAACACAGAATATTATAATTCATACTGTATCTTAACTGGAGATTACAAGAGAAAATCTCTCCATGAGGATGTTTTGATTTGATCTTGCAGAAGTGTCGGTTCACAGATAATGATTCACAGTTAGAGCACGTCCACTGGAGTATTCCGAAAAGAAGATGGGTTTCCTCACGATTGAATATAAACGAACACAAGGCTAAAGTAAGGCAATCAATATTATGACAGCAACTTAAACTGAAATGAAACATAGTGTTATGTATAGACCTAATTGGGGCTAATATCAGAAAAGGAACCATTGTCTCCGAGGAACACGTTTCTCACCCTTTTTTTTAAATGTGTGAAATTGCGAAAGAACTAACTACAGCTACAGCTACTACAGCAATTGGCCATAGGAAGTTATAAAAGTAATAAAGGAAAATGGGAGAATTTAGTCCATGTTAAAGATTGTTTTTGATTAAATGCTCTTTTCACAGAGTTTTACAGAAAATCACCTATTTTTATTAAAAGAAACAAATCTAAAAAAATATTTAACAAATAAAGATCTAGTTCTAGAAAAGGCATCACAATATGAAGTTGGAAGGCAACTGTGACCAGCACAGTTTATTGCTGAGGGAGGAAAAAACATTTCATATGCACTACAAATTGAATTAATAATAGAAAATATATCCAGATATATTGTCATTATTGTATCCACAAAAAACACAGAAATCCTATAGATGTTTGGATTGTGGATCTGGAACTAGCTACATAGCCGTTTGATTAAAGCTGCTTTCAAGAAACTGCTGGAAGCTAAACAAGCCAAAAAGTCTGCTCTTGTCTGTAAAGCATTATGTTTAAAAATGCTTGGGATATTATTTGGAGTAAACTCACTAAATTTCCGGCACTACTGACTGTCAGTGAAGAATATGGATGGGTAGCGTGATGTTTGCACCCCACTGAAATCCCAGATTTTCTTCAGGGGAGCTTGTGCCGAGTATAATGTAATGTGGGCCTGTGCTGTCTGTTCTCCTGGTTCTGTCGTGGTCTGTCTAGAGGTTGCCTGGCAGATCCCAACAGGACAGGTAAGCCTCTCTCTTGCCCCTCAAGCTCGGCCATTCACTGCCCATCACCAAGGCTCTGTCAGTCTCTGCACTGGAGGGGGAGGGGTCCTGCAGTTTTGGAAAATGAAATATATACAGCATATACACTATGCGAATAACCAGAAATCTGCAGGGAATTAACTTGTTTATACAGAGTTTAAACAAACCTTCAGATCTATTCTCCAGCAGGATTTTATTTCTTCTGTCTAATAAATGTTTTCCACATTGCCAGTGCCTAACGTTTCTATTAAACACTTGCTAATGTAGATTTCCATGCCTAATTAACTTCACCCACATCTATGGTGACAGACAAACATAGGATGGACATTTCCAACACAGAGAGCTTAGTAAATTAGTTAATGGGAATTCTGGAGTGAGGACAGACAGTGTTATTATCCTTCTTTATCTTGCAGAACAGAATGGAGGTGGATCAATATCTTACTTAGAGGGCTGTTTGATACCTCAGTCTTGAGTCCTCATCTTTCCAAGAGGTCAGCTCCATCACAAATCTGGTTTAACATGCCTGTTAAACACTAGATTACCTAATAGAAATACTGTACATATTTAATGTGGCAGACACATTTTAGCAGTTCTCTTTCCAAATAAGGGAAATATTCAAGGCAGCACATTGCAAATACTAATGCCAGCTGCAAAACAGGAGTGGTCAGAAATTTCATTTGGATCTTTTAGGTCCAGCAGGCATGAAGATGCAGATATGTAATTTAAGTAAGGAGATGACTCTGCTTTTGTGTTCTATTTGCAAAACTAAATGGAGTATCAGCTTGTCTCACAAGGCTAACCCTCCTGAATATACTTTTCTATTTTGACTTTTAGGGTGCTAGGTTATATATACACACACACATTAGAAACGGGTCCAGTTGGTTTTACTTATCTGTGAGTTCAATTAAGCCAGTAAAACAGACAATAAATACTTCTGGTTCAAAGAAAAGGTGCCTCAATTGACATACCACAGGATTTAAAATGTTTTTGATGTTCTGTACTTTTCAAAATCCACCAGCACAGATAGCATCTGTTTTTCCTTTTCCTTGACATTAGGAATCATGTTCTGGAGAACCTTATCAGATACTGAGGCATCCACTGCTGGAGCAGATGGAAAGATGCCAAACCCTGCAAGACTCAGCTAAAGGCTTTTAGAGTTACCACTGAGTCTTTTGTCAATCACTACTATCACGGGTCTCTGCTATTTCTTTTTTTAAAACTTTGTTTAAAATACTGAAAGCTACAGAGAAAAGCATAATTAAATCAACTGAAAAAAAAAACAGAGATATGCTAGAAACTGGGAAGAAAAAACACTTTGAGTGCGCTAACCCATACCAGGTCTGACAGTTAAACTTGAATGGAGCACTTGAGGCTAGGAAAACAACGAGAATAACTGGGGGATCAGTTTCCCCTCGTTCAGCCTGTGCTGATGGCTCACAGATCACCTTCGATTAAGCTCATGAAGGCAGCGTGGTTACTAAGGGCTTGGTGTAGAGATGCACACAGCACAATTAATAGGCATTCAGGGTTTTCCCCTGTGAATCTCTAATAAAAGTTTAGCCTATGGGGTCAACAAGGCAGAAGAATCCATCAGAGCAACACATAGATATTCATTAATACGCACACAGCCATTTATTTTATTATCTGACTATGAAGTATGGCCCAAGGGACCCACTACATCGTATTCATTTCTAATGGCATTTTAGAAAATCAGTTTTCTGGGAAGCTGACATACCCTTCATTCTAAAATGAACGTGTACAGAAATGAGATACTAGAGAAAAATATGTAATCATCAATTTAGCTCTAATCTCTATTAATAAATAATCACTGGAGCCATTAGCCTGATGTCTCTCTCAGGCTAGGCACAGCACTGCTATCTAACCTTAACCCAGCATACTCTTTAAATCCAGTCTGTTGAAGAATCCCATTTCCCTGCACTCGCTCTTCCATAAAGTGCCGATACACAGATTAGGAAGCTGGACTCAGAGCTGCAATTTGTACACCCAAAAGAGAGAACATAATTACACTAAGCCATGCCATATTAACGATGAAACAGCAGTGGCAAAAACCGTGCAGGGCTGCTGCACTGGCCCTATCAGGAGGTTAAAAGTTATGAGCGCCTAAAAGCTGGCGAGTTTATGTAATTAAAACAGAATCTTTTTAAGGCTGTTATTCAGCAAGCTACAGCAGCTCTTCAGATCAATTGCTGCAGCTTTCTCTAAAGCTGCACTGTTTAAAAAATGTGTTGGATAGAGTTACAAGCAGTGCTGAAAAAAAAACAGCAAGGAATTTACTTAGGATTTAAAACAGACAAGTTTTAAAGCCAAGAGCCTTCAAATGCCAATACTAATCCACATAACAATTCAGCACACAGTCCAGGCTCAGATTCCTAACAGACACCATATGTAAGCTGTGATAAAATTACAGAAAGGTATTTCGGAAGAAGTGGATTATTGGAAAAAAAAGAAATATATATATATTGCACAGTATCTTTTTAATTACCAAAAGCGCATAGCTGAGAAACTGCCAGCCACATCAAAGTTCAGTGAAACAAATAAATAAGTAGTTCCACATTATGCTGTGGGTTTTAGAAAGGAAGTACTTAACTTACTCAGATGGAGTTCAAGTAACTTAATTGGCACAGAGGGGAAAACATCACCAAGTGTCTTCCTTGCACACAATCGGGCCCTACCAAGACAATCACTTCCCAACACAAATAGTTCTCTTGTACGTGAACTTCATAGTCAAACCGGTGTTTAGCCGTGGTTTAGCTCCTTGAAAGAAATCAAGCCAGAGAAAACCTTCCGGAGATCTTGCGGACAGGTTAAGCTCCTGCAGAAAGTGTAGCTTCCAATTACGCCAGAAAAAAAAAAAAGAGCAAAACAGCTGAAGGAGAACGCTGCTGAAGACTCTCCTGTGTAATGAGTGACACCACTGTCTGCTCAACACACCTCTGCAGCAGCAGATGTTAACACTTTCATAAAGCAGTTGTTCGTTTATTCAGATTCTTTTCGTATGTGGAGGATACCAGCCTAGTGACCTGAAACATCTCATTTACAGAGGTGTCAGCTCAGGCTGAAGGAGAGGAATTTTGCAAATAAAAACTTAAGTTAGATTCCAATGGTAAATAAATCAAAGAGGCCAAGAGTT